CTTGTCCACGCTAGTTCTTCACAAGGCCCACAACAATGTCGAAGATATACACTCACGTATTCATGTTGATTTCCCACTTTCTACAAGTCACATACTAAAAAACTTATCCTTTTTTTTTGGGTAACGGAATGACCAAAATTTCAAAGAGGAAACCTATTTTCAACTCATGTAACAGTGGTTTAAGATACAACAATATGCATTTTATTTCAAACTAGTTGAAGTTGATGGCCGTCCGTAGGAGATGCAACTCAAGGAAACAGAACATGTGTTTGCGCCTAACTTATACATGAACATGACCAAAAGCCACCACAACACTTGGTCACAATCTAACCCATAAAACAGTATTGTCTTTACTTGAATTTTTTCCCTAAAACAAGACCAAATCCTCTGTCTTCATTTGTCTCAACTTTTCATACTCAACAATTACTAAGAGTTGGGCACACCAATGATCTCCATGCCAAAATATGTTTTTTTATCGGTATCTTAATATTTTTTTATAAAAGTCGATGAAAAACAGTTTTTCTATTCATGTTTCAAACATTTATCATTATCGGCAGTTTAAACATTTCCCACAAATTTGTTTCTTGGTTGTAAACGCAAATACAAGAAGAAAAAAAATTCATTTTCGTCTAAACATTTATCATCATTGTTTTATGTAAAATTGAAAAATATTTAAATATCTTTGAAACTTGTCACATTTCATCAAACTAATCGAACATGGTATAATAAAGAATCAGGACCATAGATGATAAATCCTGATACATCTTAATGAGATTCATGAATATCAACAATCCATAATCGCAAATCGTTGTACTCCAATTTACACACACAAACTCTTAGAAACCCATAAAACTATTTTTAAATCTTTACAATAATATATAAATCCCCACCGACTAACTGAATAACAAAACGAAAACCTTAAAAGCAGAGCAAGATAAAAAAAAAAATTGTAAAGAAAATAACAAAAACACTAATGAAATCTTTGTCTCTTAGCAACTTCAAGTCCAGTAGCAATTCCTGGAACAGAGCAACCTCTGAAATTGAGCATTGACGTGGTCGTCTTCGTCGAACAACTTTTCAAGATAGCATAAGAGTTTGAGATCGCCGGAACTCTGAAACTCTGCTGAAGCGGCGGAGGATTGCGCCACCGTGGAAGTGGACCGGCGACAAGAAGTGTCTGAAGCAACGGTCCAGATTCCATAACTGTCTGAAGAAGCTTACCCTTTACCGGTAAAGGTTTTCCTTTGATAATCTCATCCATTAGAGCTTCCACTGGATCAATCTTAACCGGTCTCTGCTGCTGAGAATTACAGATCCGGTTAACGGGTCGGTTCCTGAATTTGATTTGGTGAACCGGTTCCGGTACGATGTTGAAATTGGATAATTCAGGAGACGAAACCGGTTCGAAGAACGAGTCGACCGGTGATGACCCGTGCGAGTTTGACTCGGTGATACTAGAATTAGCTTTGATCGTGAGGAGTCTCTGTAATTGGTCTTTAGCTTCGTCTCTCTCTTGACGAGCGAGTTTGAGAAGATGAAGAAGGTTCTTCACTTCTTCTTGGTGAAGTTTTGATTCTTCATTAGCTTTTGATCTCACAGCTTCGAGTTCGAAGGAACTGTATTGAAGCTTTTGTCTTAATTCATCCATACTCTGTAATAATATCAAAAAGTTACATGAAAAAAAAAGAAGTAAAAGTCAGAAATTAATTGATAAAAATGAAGAAAAAAAGATTGGACGAATCATTTGAGAAAGCAACATTTAGTAATAATTTTAGCAAAAAAAAAGAAAGAAAGATAATATATAAAATACAGAGGGTTGTTTCCTAATGATGTGAGATAACAACCTTGTGTTCACGGGGTCAAGAATTCACTCAAAACGTTACTAAATCTAAACCAAAACATATTAATATTAAATAAATATATAAACGTCAAGGATATAAAATAATTTAATAAACAGGAAAAAAAAAAGAGAATAGTCTTTTTGGGTTAAAAGGCAGAAGAGTACAAGAAGTCACATTTTTTGTAGGTAAAATGGATTGTTCTGGCAGATTTTCATAGATCTTAGAGGTTTAATAATGTCGGAAATAACTCAAGTGAAATGTTGGAGAAAAAAGAAGAAGACAATTTTTCATAAACACATAAAAGTTACTGAAATTCCAATTACACACAAACACAAGGATTTTTAAGGACAAGGCCAAACTCCAAAACCTAGAGAACTCTACAATTACTCATTCATAAAAAAAATGCAAAATAATGACATAACAATCTTCATACAAATGTTGATTTACTTGAAATTATTACGTAAAACCAACCTCTTGGTAAAACCAAATAGAACCCAACTCTTCCATTTGTTTTCTCTGTTCTTGATATGGTTTTTTA